GTTCGGCTCGAAATGACTCGAAAAAAAAAATTATATAACTTTTTATATAACAATATATTACATATATTATTTATATAATAATATATTATATATATTTATGTCTAAGTTTAAATCATAACATCTCATGTGGCAAAGTGGTTATTGTCATCTTTTGTATAGATTTGACCCAGGTTCGAATCCCACACTTTACACCTATTTTTCTTAATTTTAGTTTAACGAGCTAATTTCGAGTCGAACACGAACACGAATATTTAAATCGAGTCGAACACGAACACACTGTTCACGAGCCGATTTCGAACACGAGCCGATTTCGAACACGAGCTATTTCGAACGAGCCGAACACGAGCCAAGCCTGAGCTCGCTCAAGCTCGGCTCGTTTACAGCCCTATGCATGATCATAGAATTTTCGAAAGAAAGAAACTAAGATATGATGGAATTCGAATCCAAGCTTTATAACTGAGCATTCTAGGCAATATCAAATGCTCAACAAAGCGAACAACGAATGATTAAGAAGACACAACAACTCAAAACCCTCAAATCTCATATAAAGAACTTATTAGAACAATATCAGATGCAAAATCACGCAAAATCAAAGCAACAGTAAGCTTACATGAAGTCAAATGATAGTCATAAAGAGAAAAGTAAGCTTACTAGAGAGATAGTGAGAGAGAAATATGGGTGGGGTTTCCAGCATCTCACCCGCAATGAGAGAAAAATCGAACATTATCCAAAACAAAACGAGCCACAATCACATAGAGAGGATACAAAAAACAAGAACATTGATGCCCTAGACGAATTAGTTTATCGTGAATATCACACACGGTATTGTAAATAGTAGAGGGGTAAAATCATAAAAATAAATGTAACGAAATCATAGAATGCAACCCACTGCAGATTGAGAGAAGATGTCACTTGCTGTGAATCTATGTCTCAATTTCCTCTCTATCACAAGCATGTCGCCCGCCCCAAACCATTGCCGCCTCAAACGACACCCAAGTCAATTACAATTTATTAACGAACATAAAACCTCTTTCTCCTCTTTAAGATTGTCTTTTTATTTGGCTCATCAAACATATGAGTCTATAAAACCTATATGAACTCGAGCTAATCTTGCCAAATATAATTTAAGTCAGTGGCCAGCATTGCGTTCCATTTTTCCAATGATCCTGCCAATTGTTCAAAGTTGAGAAAACTATTTTTTTATGTTTGATTGTCTCCCTTCCACCTTTGAAGATATTGAAGGACAAAGTAAACGGTCTAGCCAATGAAGATTTAAAATAAAAATAATTCGAATAACTTACCTTTAAATAACTTTTCTTTTTTAATTTTTCATATTTATAGATCAATTTAAAAATAAAATTTTTATTTTCTATATATTTGTATTTTTTTTTAAAGAAAAAGAAAATATACATATCGGATAAAATGCCAAAAAAAAAAAAAAAGCCTATAAAGAAATGAGAATTTTTTTTTTATTTAATCGATAAATTAAGTAAATATAACGCCAGCTAAATGAAAGAAGGCTAATATTTTCATATCATTCAGAAAATGTGTCCGTGCTTTGACATTTAAATAAAAATATTATTTTTAAAAGAAAAAAAAAGAAAAAGAGCTCCCTCCCTGTTTCTTTCTTCCCAGGCCTACAAAAGGAGCTCAGGTATTCCCTGCTCCTCCCACCAAGTTGTCTCCTTTCTCTGCTAAAAGCCATTGTAGCTCCCTGCTGCTTTCTTTCCCCATTTCTCTCTCTTTAGCTTACTACTAACTCCATGGATCTCCTAACTGAAGACCAGATCTCTGAATTCCGTGAGGCCTTCTGCCTCTTCGACAAGGATGGAGATGGTATGCTCTCTCTCTCTCTCTAGCAGGCAAAGCTGAAGAACTCAAGAGATTGCTTCATAGAGAAAATAAATTTATGTTCATGTTTACATTCTGTGTTATATGCGTTATTGATGATAGAATATCTGAAACTTAGGATTTATGACAGATTCTCTTTTTTTGGCAGTTCTGACATCATCAGCTCTTTGTGAACAGATTTGTTATGCTAATTGCTGTTTTCATAATCTGTGCTTTCTGGTGGCCACCAGCCACCGAAGGATATTTTTAGATTTCTTTTTTATTAAAATTTTATCCCTGATTTGGTCAAGGTCAGAAAAGGCCAGCAAGAAGGCTAAATCCCCCTCAAATGTCTCTGCTGAACAGTCAATCAATCGTGTTAGGTGTCACTCTCGGTAGGGGAGAGATCACCTTCTTGCTGGAATTATTGCCTTGCGTTGTCATTGAAAGTGATGCCCCCCACCCCCCCCC